CTGTCTTTATGTATTCATCTAAATATTACCAACCCATTAAGAGAATAATCAATGTGTGCAGGGAGTTAATTCTATTATCTCATATTTCGCTAACTTAAATTTTTAAAAATCATAGCTTTACACATTTTTTTGAAGTACAACTGACTTACAATTTTATATTAGCTTCAGGTGTACAACATAGTGATTCTATATTTTTATACATTACAAAGTGATGGCCACGACAAGTCTGGTTACCATCTATCACCATACAGAGTTTACACATTTAAATTTTTATTGTAATGAAGGTGTATTTGTCATGGTAGGAGGAATGAATATGTTTTATTTAATGGTTTTTAAATGTAACTTAAATATTTAGAAGTATGGTACATCAGCCTGAAAGAAAAGGTGGTTTTATAATATCTATTGATGAGGCACCGGTGGGGAGATGAGGAAGGGCTGGTGGAGAAGGTGACCTCTGACCTGAGCATCCGGTGGTGAGGACGTAGCTGCAGGAAGAGCCCTGGGCAGGGTGCAGCCCAGGCAAACCTTCCCATGCACATGACGGCAGATATGGTGCTGCCGTCCAGCCGCTGTCCCGGCCAAATTGGGCTTCTGGACTAGCAAAGCTACAGCCCACGAATGTGCTGTCTGGCTGCCGTAATAAAAAGACCATGGACTAAGTGGTCTAAACAGCAGACATTTATTTCTAACAGTTCTGGAGGCGGGAGGTCTGAGAGCCAGTTGCCAGCAGATTCGGTGTCTGGTGAGGGCCCATCTTCTCCCTGTGTCCCCACATGCCAGAAGGGAGGAAAGAGCTCTCTGGGGTCTCTTTCATAAGGGCACCAATCACCTCCCCCAAAGGCCCCACCTCCTAATACCATTACATCGGGAGCTAGGATTTCAACATCTAAGTTTGGGGAGGGAGGGACACAAACATTGAGTCCATAACACTTTCCTTCACCATTTCTCAAGAAAGTATATGTTGAGGTCTTTTTTGGAGCAATTACTTGATATTTAGCTTCTCTGATATTATTTCTTTAAAAATCTCATTTTCTTGTGTTCTTCATTATTTAATTTTCTGTTGTTTCATTTTAGTTGCCTTAAATATCTTGCTACCCTTTCGCTATAGTGATATAGTTAACTCTCAGTTGATTTATGTGAGTATAAAGGACCACAGACCCAGATAACTCAAAACTAATTTGTTTGACTTTGGATTTTAAGGCGATTTAGCACCAGATTTGCGTTCCCACTCAGGTTTTATTTAAGCTGCTATTATGATCAGTGTACGCTGTACAAGCATGTACCAGCTGGCTAATGGGATGAACAGGCAGGCCTGAAGAAGCTGAGCTAGGATGGAAAATTGTCTGTGGATAATACACACATGGATCATTGAAAATCGATTGTAGCTTGTTCCTGTGCCCAGGAAACTGTCTGCTTAATGACCTGGCTTTCTGGGACTTCTTGTTTGCACCGGACCGTCTATTCTAATACAATGGATTGGTTTTACAAAGAAACCTTTAAGATGCTTAAAGGATCTAAGCATAAAAATTATGGTACTTAAATTTGTGTGTGAAATTTAATTGTTCAAGTCCTTGTTGTACTTAGTTCTTATATATTCTCCTACTGTTTGCTGTTCCTGTATTTTAATTGCAGTTTACACTTCTGTTTCACAATCTCATTAAAAACTATCTTGTTTCATGATGCCGATGTTTCATAATCTTTGATAATTTAAGTATCTAGCCTCTGTGATAATGTGTGGTAGAAACTGACTTTGTTATTTCCTTACCCGAGAATTCATTAGCGAGAGTTCCAGAAAAAACAACAGAGGCTACAGAGGAGTGAGGAAAACTACCTGACTTTCTAATTTTTTTTCCTGTTGATTTTGAAGGTGATGTTGTTATTTCAAGGACAAAACACATGACTGCTAGAAGTTGCTTTCCTATTTGGAAGGAAAGCCCTGCAGAAGGAGCTCGTGCAGAGTGTGGGTGGGACACAGCGAATGCCCCACGTTCTTAGGACAAAGTCTGAGCAGCCCTCCGTTCCTCTGCCTCTGCAGTTCTCTGAATGAGTGCAGAATCAGTGGCAGCTCTGTCAGGGCTTTTTTTTTTTTCCCCCTTTTGCATTTACTTTATTTTTTGCCTTTTAATGATAATGAGAAAAGGGCTTCTCCAGGACTTGTCGTGCAAATGTTTGTGGAGGAGACGGGAAGTATGATAGGAAGATGGAGGGCAGGTACCCTTAAACCCACAGGTCCTTTTGTTTTGTTTTGGTCCTCCTCACCGCTCTCAGTGTCCCCGGTACCTCCTTCCTCATCTGAACACTGGTCGTGATGACTATGTTGTCATGTTCAGATGGGACAGTGCTTTGTAAACCGTAAAGCTCGTGACAACATGAGTTGTCCAAACAGTAACAAACGCCTCAGTCGCAGGCAGTCTGCTGGGCCTGGGTTCTGCCCTGTCTGCTCCCGACCTGTCACCGTCTTTCCTCACTGGTGAACTGGTTTACCCCAGGCAGTCTTTCTCATACTTACACCTTCTTTTCTCTTGGGCTGTCGTTGTAAGTCAGAAGGTATCCTTAATCACGGCAGAGAAAGTTAAGCACAGCACTGGAGACAGTTTTCAGTGAAATCACAACTACAGAAGAATCCACGTCCAACTTCACGCTCTGGAAGGCGCCTAGACTAGGCCTGCAGGATCTCGGCACGGTTCTTGACCGAGTATTGCTTCCTGCAGATGTACAGCATCCCAACTGTAGCGTGACACAAACTGGCTTTCGTAGGCATGTCCAGAAAGCTGGGCAAACGTTTTAACAGTTTTTATGGGAAAATGCATTCTCCTTCATCTGTAACTGATACATAGTTTGTTCATAATTGGGGAACTGCCCAAGCAGGTTCTTTCACTGATGATTTTTAACTGTGTCTGTTGTCAGGAGAGAGGACATATGGGTGGATCCAGGATGATTGATTTTCTGGTGGTTTTTTTTTGTTTTTTTGAAAGCTACCACTCTAATTGATGGGAAGGCAGGGGTGTATTTGGCATATTTTTACCCTTTGGTTTTTTTTTGCTTACATCTATAAGGGTGAAGAAGGATCTCTGTTTTGGAGCCAGAGAGGATAAATTTTTCCCGAAATACTCTATGAGACAAAGTCCTCAGATCACATCCATAGGATGTATTATTATTTTAAAGAGATGGAAGAAGGCTATGTGGTGTCACATGCACTTAGTATTCCCGACACCAGGAGGCTGGGCTATGACACCTGATCTGATTGAGTCCAGGCGCAAGAAGCAGACAAGCTGGTCAGCGTTTCAGTTTTTCATCAGCCCATCCGTGGGCCCTCCCAGGATGGATTAGAAAGTGTCCAGCTGCTGAGTTAGCTGAAATGGCATTTTTTTAAAGATCTCACTATTAATAGGAGTTTATTAAAACTTGTGTAAATTATAGAAAAATAGCCAGATATATCTGTTGAGGATGAAGAGGGTGGTGAAATAGTTTGAAAGAATACTATTAGAAATATGGAGGTGAATACCAGGAGAAACAGATAAGAAGGAGTTGAAATTGGTTTTTTTGGTGGGTAAGGAAGGCTGATGCAGAAGACTGCTGTATTTCATTTTAAGTCTTTAAATAATATTTTTCTCTTTAAGCTATATGCATGCTTTGATAAAATAAAAATCAGTATAAAATAAAACATTCTTATAAACTAACAGAATGGTAACATCATTGAGGACTATGTGAATTGTACCTAGAGTAGTACTGTAAGAGTGTAACTAAATGTTTTTATATAGAATCAATATATAATTATTGATATTATATTATATTTAATAATATAATTATATTATAATAATTATATTACAATATAATTATATTATTATAATTATAATAATTATATTTATAATTATTTAAAAAGTTTCCAATTTTGTGATTAGAATTATAGTTCTGTCTTTGGACTATTGTTTGCGACGTGATACCTCTCTTTTTCTTAACTTTATTATTGCTATATCATAGGTAATATTAAAGTCAGGGATGACCATGGTCCTATCTTACTACCCATGACACCTTGCACAGGATTATATGTGGTGAAGTCTCAGAGTATGGTTGATAAATATGTCTTCTAGGCTTTTAAAAAGCCTCTTTCTAAAAATTACACAAATAATACAGATTCACTCTAGAAAAAACAGAAAATGCAGAGAAGCAAACAAAAAACTAAAAATCTGCCCCAAACTTATCATTTTGGTAACATCCCTCCAAATGTTTCCCTGTGCAATAGGTACATGTAAATAAATTTAAAATAAAATTATCCTATACATACTCTTTTGTTCCCAGATTTATACACTTAACATGTTACGAATGTCTTGCTGTGCCAAGCATTTGCCTTCATTTTTAACAACTGCCTAATCTTCCGCTGTGTGGATATGCCATGATTTATTTAAACAATCCCTTTTTAGTACCCGTTTAAGCTTTCTATTCTTTTTCTTTAGCTGTTAAGGTTTTGAATGCGTATCCTTGTACATATAGTTTTGCATACTTAGTTGAATTTTTCTTAGAATAAGGTGGAATTTTTAGGTCAACATGTATGTTTTATTTTTACGGCTCTTTATCACGTTTCCAGTTGTTCTCCAGAAATGTTATATCAGCTTTAGTCCCTGTTGGTAGAGAAAAGAATATCCATTTCTCCACTCCCTCACTAACTGATGAGCAGAAACAGATTCATCATTGCTGGGTTAATTAGTATTTCTTAGAATAACAGTGCGTTTGAACGTTTTTAGTGTGGATATAATTCATCATTTTGCCTTTAATTTTCTCTTCAGTGTTCTTCCCCTATATGGAAAAGGTTTCTTTTTAATTTTTATGTATTCAAAACTATCAACCATTTTAAAACATTTTTTTAAATTTCTCCCCCAATTTTGAAGTTTAATGCTTCAAAAGCTCTTTCTTTCCCAGGGTCACATACGTGGAACAAATTGATTTTCAGAATTTAGTGGAGTGACTAAAATTCTCTCAAATTTCTTCCTTTTTCCCACCAGGAAAGCAATAGAAGAACTCCTTAAAGAGGCAAAACGTGGGAAAACAAGAGCAGAGACAATGGGACCTATGGGCTGGTAAGTTCTTGAGTCATCTTCCTTAAAATTTAAACTCATGTATATATTAAAGAGAAAAGTTTTCTTTAGCATATACAGGGAATGTAGAACCGTGGACGTAGAGGAACTCACTCAGAGGCAAGTGGTAGAGCAGGGACACTGCTGAGGGCTGCAGCCACGGAAGTGGGCAGAGGGGTGAGAACAGAGAACACTTGTCATGGTGTTGTCACCCTTTGGTCCACAAGTCCCCAAGAGATATGATGACGCTGCTGTGCCTAAGGCCACCTGAGTGACAGTAATATTATGTCAGTGTTCATTGTTTAAGAACTTCTATCTTAATTATAGTCCTCAGTAAATTAAGATTTATAATTTTAAGTATTTTAATTTTGTGACAGTTCAGCTGTGTAGCACTAAAGTTTACCATTGCAGTTGCTTTACAAAACAGAGCTTACTAAAACTTAATGATATAGACAAAGGAAGAATTTAACCTTAAGAATCAAGTCTACTCTTCTAAGCGTTACTTTAGCAATAGCATTCTCATCCAATAAATATGCTGGCTTAGGTCTTTTATCCACAGTTTAAAATTCACTATAATGGAGTATTGTGGGCCGTGAAAACGTGTAAAATGTAAAAATGGGACAGGAGTAGAAGCTAGATCTCTGTGGATTTGACTCTTAGAACCAAGCACAGGGTTTATGTCAAATATAAAACAAGGTTCAGTCAAAGTTAAAGAAATAAGAGGGCAAAGGCAGTTCCTAAAAATCAAGAAACATAAGATAAATGGACCTCAGTAAGCCATTGAGCAGATGGCTTAGCCACACGTGGAGGAACTGTTTCAGGTGATCTGAAATTTGACTGTATTTCCAAAGGCAAAAAAGAACTAGAAAGAAATCTTAAATTGTTTCCAGTTATCACGTTGTTGGTAATAATGTTGACATTGTTATTCTGAAAATATTGTATAGTAGGATAAAGCAAATAAGTAAATATTTATTTGTTATAGATACCAAAATTTTCAGTGTAAAAGATACAACTATAAAATCAAAGATATAAAAATCTGTACTCCTAAATATTAATTGGAAATATCCGTATGAAGTTGTGCTAGATTTTCTCTTTAAAAGAGAGAAAAGCTTTTCTAGCTCTGTTCACAGAAAAGTCCTGGAAACAATGACCATCCACTCAGTAGCAGTGAGTATCCCTGGCACCCAGGGGTGGTGTATAAATTCTACTGTGGTATATATAATTCCATTTCTCACTGAACGAAGACAGAGCCTTAGAGAAATAACTGGCTGCCGATCTGAGGCCGTTAGCCTGGAGTTAGCCAAACTGCAAGCTAGCTGTCACAGCCTCCAGCACTGCCCTCACTTCTCATGCCAACCGCAAGTTCCGGGAGCTCCCCAAACGATCCTCAGCTTCAGTAATTTGCTAGACCACACACAATTCACAGAAAGCTATTATGCTCATGGTTACAGTTTATTACAGGGAAAGGATACAGATTAAAATCAGCCAGAATAAGGGATGCAAAGGGCACAGTCTGGAAAGGTTCCAGACACAGAGCCGCTGTTGTCCACCCCGTGGAGTCAGGACCCACACATTACCCTCCCAGCACCAACATACGACAATGCACTTGGCATACTGACAACCAAGGAAGCGTACCTGAGCCTCGGTGTCCAAAGTGTTTTGGGGGGTTCCATTACTTAGGTGTGATTGACTGATTGCTCACATGGTTGATATCAGTCTCCAGTTTGACCAATACCACAGTACCCCAGATTTCCACCCTCAATCATGTGGTGTGTCTCTGGCATGGCCAGCCCTCCCTGTAAGACTATCAGTTGTGGCCAGCTCCACCCTAAACAAAGACGTTTCTATCAGGTATGACATTGCCTCCCAGAATTGATATTACCTCCCAGAAGCCAGGGCGAAGGCCAGACCTCTCTGTGGGCAAGACCACACTGTTTACTACATAGATAGGAAATGTATAAGAAGAGCCAGAAAATCTTATCAGATCAGAAAGTAAAACTGTCAGAGATCAGATCAGGAAGTAAAACTGTCAGAGACTACTGTAGTCATGTCAGAAAGACACAGGAACCAACTTGAAAGGCCTCCCACTAGTCAAAGATGGGACAATTTAATCACCAAAGAATAAAGAATAATGAGTGAGATAACCTAAAATATGTTAAAATCCATAAGGTCATAAGAAAAATCACATCAAGAAGCTTTTGGATGAGGCTAAGGGGCCAAATTATTATAAAACTGGTAAATAGTGAGGAAAAGCCGAGCATTTATCCTGTTCCTTGTACAAGTTATACTTCAAAGTTACAAAATAATTGATGAAAGAAAACTTCCTTATAGAATTGCAACTGTTAAATGTAGGACTATAGAGTAAGGTTATCATCACTTGAATAACAACTCAATTACAAGACAAACTATCTAATTTAAAAATGGACAAAAGATTTGAACAAACACTTCACCAAAAATGATATCAAATTGGCCAATAAGCATTTGAAAGGATACTCAAATCATTAGTTATCAGGAAAATGCAAATTAAAACCACAGTTACTTATTCACTACACATGCACTAGATTGGCCAAAATAAAAAAAAAGACTGACAGCACCAAATAAAGAGGAGGATTTGGAACAACGAGAATGCTCACATATTGTTGGTGGAAATGTAAAATCATACAGCCACTTCGAAAAACAACTGGTAGTTTCTTCCACATATGCACTCACCATACAGAATTCTTCTTCTAACCACCTGTCAGAGAGCTGACAATGTAAGCCCACACGGAAATCTGTCCAGTAATGTCCACAGCAGTTTTATTCATGATAGCTCAAAACTGGAAACAACCCAAATGACCATCAGCTGATGAGTGGATACACAGTTGTAACATCCATACATTCCACACTCATCAATAACGAAAAGGAACAGAACTACTGATACACACTGCATGGATGAATCTCAGAAGCATTTTGCTCATGAAAGAAGCCAGACTCAAAACATTACACATTATAAGATTCCATTTATATGACATTCTAGAAAAGCCAAAACCACAGGGACAGAAAACCCATCGGCTGCCAGGAGGTAGGGGCTGAAGGACTGAATTTCCTGCAGAACTTTTCTGGGTGCTGGGAATGCTCTATATCTTGACTGTTGTGATGATCACACGACTACACACATTTGTCAAAACTCATCACACTATTTACTTAAAAGGATAAATTTTAGTTTGTATAAACTATACCTCAGTAAACCTGATGTAAAAATAAGAAGAATGTCGTTATTCTACAATCCCTAATGATACACTGGATCTAGGCAAAGATCATCACCGGTTGCTAAGTCTCTCAGATGAGAAGCTGATGGGAAACTTTCTGATGAGTGGGTCAGGCTGACGACACCTGGACTCATCTGTCAATCTTTATACCACAAGAAGATGCAATAGGAAGAGGGTACCGCCACTTATGAGACATCCTTGTAAAGAACCTGAACGTGAATCTGATCAAGTCTCTAGTTAGAACTACTAGTTTGCAGGAAACAGAGGGCAGAGGAACATACTAAATGATATTATAGAGATAAAATTACAAAAATGTGGGGAATTCTACAGGACAAACAAACCAGTTTCTTTAACAAATGAACTGCAAGGAGAAAAGGAGGAGGAGTATCCTATGACTTAATAGATTTGGGACACATCTACGTGTATACCTTGTTTGGATCCTTATCCAAACTAATTGAAACAAGGGTATTTGATGATATTAAGGAATTGGTGTTGATTTTTTTTTTAGGTGTGATAATAGGATTGCTGTTATTATTATTTATTTATTTATTTATTTTGCGGTACGCGGGCCTCTCACTGCTGTGGCCTCTCCCGTCGTGGAGCACGGGCTCCGGACGCGCAGGCTCAGCGGCCATGGCTCACGGGCCCAGCTGCTCCGCGGCATGTGGGATCTTCCCGGACTGGGGCACGAACCCGTATCCCCTGCATCGGCAGGCGGCCTCTCAACCACTGCGCCACCAGGGAAGCCCTGTTATTTTATTTTTTAAAAGCTATTATCTTTTAGAAGTTCATTCTGATGTATTTATGGATGCAGTGGTATAATAAGATGAAATGATCCAATGTGAGTCAATCTTTGTGTAACATTTGTAATCATTTTAGATTTCAGTGAAATAGCGACCTCCTAGGATACGGTAAAAATTTGGTGAGATAATGTATGTGGAAACACTCAGCATAGTTCCCGGCATGGAGCAGTCAGTTACTAAATGTTAGTTAAATCTGCTCTTAACTTCTTTTTTCGTTTGTTTGGATTTTTTATTGCCATATAAAGGGCCATCTAACTGGTCTGGACTAAAATAAATAAGTGTTCTAGATGTACCAGGCCAGGTGGAGTGAATATCAGTTTCAATGCCAATTTCAGACAAAGGATACTCATTGAATGGTCAACGTTTTCTACCATTTTACGAATTTTTTCCTCAAATACAGTTTTTTTATGTATAAATTTAAATGCCATATTTTTAAATATCCCACAAGATTTTTAGATATGACATTGCTATTTTTAAATTGCAGTTACAAATCTTATTTGTCAGTGACAGAATTATAATTCCTTAAAAATCAGAAGTTGTGGGCTTCCCTGGTGGCTCAGTGGTTGAGAGTCCGTCTGCCGATGCAGGGGACACGGGTTCGTGCCCCGGTCTGGGAAGATCCCACATGCCGCAGAGCGGCTGGGCCCGTGAGCCACGGCCGCTGAGCCTGCGTGTCCGGAGGCTGTGCTCCGCGGCGGGAGAGGGCACGGCAGTGAGAGACCCGCGTACCAAAAAAAAAAAAAACTTAGAAGTTGTATTTACAAGAATGAGCATATCCTTTTTTTTTCCTAGTTGGAACTAACTAAGGAGGAACATAGATTTAAATGGTTGATTGCTCCAGTTAATCGTTGATTCATCAGATCTCCTGACTTGGTGTATATAACCATCTATGTGGTTGGCTTTTTTCTTTTTACCTTTTGACCCCTTGACTCCCCTACCCCTGCCTCTGGCG